CTTTCCCTTACTATATTTATATGAGCCCCAAAAGAAACAATATGAAGAAATGAGAATTTTATGTTTCTGTAACTAAACGGGTTGCAGCACAGAAATCAGTTGATATTTTTTGGTGTTTCACTTTTTTTTCCTAGTTGGACTAATATCAACACAGTTTGACAAATGCAACAACAACAGCTGACACTTGCAATTCAGCATTGAAGCAAAAATAAGCATTAACATTTCTTTTAACTTAAAATGCATAAAATCAAATGATTGTCTTTTGACTTCTCACTGATTCATGTCTCTTCAGGCAAGACACTCCTGGTAGTGCGAGGGCCAGTTGGCACACAACTAGATGTTCCCATTCCCAAAGCTGTAAGTCCTGCATTACAGGAACCCACAGTTGATTCTTTTTTTTTTTTTAAACTGCCTTTAATTCAGAAGGGATGATCTTAGTGTGTGCAAACATCTCCTTTCAGGTCCTGAACAGCCCAGTAACATATCAGATCCATCTGAAAAGCATCAGTGGGCCCATAGAAGTCATACTTCTTAACAAACGTTCTGTCAGCTCTGTTCCAGTTGTACTACCAGTCCCACCACCAGAAGAAGTTTTACGGAATGCTAAATTAGCCATGTCTACTTCAGATGAGACAGGTGGCAGTGCTGCACATTGTCAGACTTCAACTAATACCAAACATAGTGCTACATGGAGACAGAAAGTCATGGATGACATGCAGTCTCTTCATGCATCATCATATATAAACACAGAGCCTAACAGAGCTGCTGCATCTAAATGTGAGTATTTAAGTTTGTGCAATTGTGAAGCATTTTTTTTGATAGGCCACTGAAAGAGAAACCTAACAGTGCACTTCAGCTTGAAGTCGATCCCTAGAGTCTAGTCTAAGAACATAGCAACGCCACAGATTTGTCAGTTATCCTTATTTTCTCTGGAATAAGGTAAAGAGCAGTTACAATGAGAACACTAGACTGTGACTACAATCAGTTAATTAGACTATGCAAATAATTTACAGAATCAATGTTAAACACAATTTCACACTACTTGACCCATATTACTGCCAGTGAAATGCCATTTTAGCATTACAATGGCTCCTTATCTGTACAGAAGACGACAGGTATCAAGGCCTTGCTTTATGAAAACACTTGATCAGTTATAGATCTCAGTGGTTGCTGGTTCTGTAGTGTTTTTCTCTGATTATTTCTTTCATACATATTCATAAGAATTATGTTTTTACATCTCTTGCATGTTTCTTTCAGTGTTGAGTGCTTTTACTTTAATTCTTTAAAAACCTTTTTCCAGTTCCAGATTTATCAAAAGAACTGAGGAGCCTACTAGACTCACCCAAAGGTAGTGAGTGATCTTTTTGTTGGGACTCAGAATTATTTCAACATAAGTCAGTTTATTTGATTGCATACTAGAGTATGATTATATCTTCCCTCATTTTTGTAGAAATAATGAATGCAGATCTACTCTCACAGCTTATGGCCTCTCAAGGTAAGTGCATTTTATTTTCTGACTTCAGATATATTACATTTATATCTATCATATATTGGTATTTGTAAAATAGTGGTATTAATCATGTTTATCTCTGATCCTCAGTTTTTTCTCCACTTCTCTGTCTGTCTCCACCCCTGTCTGAACATGAATAAATCTATAATCTGGATGAGAATGAAGGCCTCTGACGTGTATGACATCCCTGTGCTCAGTGTTAGACCACGAACCTCTGTGTTGAGACTTCAAAAGTAAATTCTTTACTCTGGAAATGTACATAATAATGTGTTTTCAATAGTTATTTGATTACAACAAATAATAAACAAATGACTTTGAATATTGTGTCCACCTAATTTGTATACAGAGAAGCAAACAGATTGCAGTATAATTCTGTCCAGTACAACACCTCAGACTAAAGCCTCAGAATTTATTCAGTACCTCTTTGACTTTGTCAATGAGAAAGTTTCAAAAATATTATTTGGTGTTTTTGACACCAACTTCAAGAGAAATTAAATTTAATCAGTATTGTTTACATTGGTGAAAGACGTTTTCCCATCTTTCAACTGAGTAAAAGTACTGTGCTAATAGCAATAGGAAAAAAGTGGCTGCTCCAGCCTTAGACCAGACCCTGTTTAAAGGGTCATATGATAAATCTGAGAGGCCCTGAGATGATTAATGTGGTAGGAAAGAAGAAAATCTAAGTTCTACTACAAAGTGTTAATTTGAGATAATTTTATCTTAGAAGTTTAAAGCAGAAATCTTTTTATGCTGAAATTGTTGAAGACAAGGGGCTATAAGTAATGCATTCTTTTTTGGTTTTGTTTTGTTTTATTAAGTCCACCCATTTAGCATTTCAGAACTGTAATGAATTATGAAATGATGTAATAGAACTGTTATGACATTTTAATTGTTTATTGTTATGTCATTAGTGAAGATGCATTTTATATTACAACTAGTCATGGGTGCCCACAGCAGGCATTATGGCCAAATAAAAGAATAAATTTATGACTCCTTTGTTGCTAAATAGGGTGGCAGTTTTGGATTTTTAAGTTTGAAAATGAAAAACAGGTAATACTGCATGTCATAGAAACGTATTGCAATAAATAAGTATTGTATTTCCCCCTAAAGGTATATAGGTAAACTTCATAATTGTACTGAAATAGGCCTACTACTTGAGTAAATGGACTGAGTTACTTGTTGCTATGGCAACAAGTGTTTGAAACTAGGCTTGAGATAGTGGACTGCCTGAATTTGCGTGTGAACTGCTGTGCTAGCTCCTCAAAACGAAAGAAACACTGCCCGTCTCTTCGCGTTATTTTCGCAGTATATACGATGGTAAGCAAATCGTTCACTGGATTATTATATCACAGCCACGTGGGTACATAGTGAGCTAACTACAGCGTTAGAGTTAGCCGCTAGCTGTTAGCTACCTAGCTGCAAATGGTTGGTGTGTGATATCGTATCACGCTATAGTCGATATTAGATTCCAAGACTCGGGAGGGAGAACTTCCCCCAGAGCCTTGGTTTTAAACTCTAACCTTACCCCAGGCTACTCGTCTCCCCCAGTTTGTGCTTCTCGTGTTTTATCATTACACTCTACAGGCCCAGACTAGAGATAGTTACTTCTACACAAAGGTTACTATCGGAAGTTGTTTTAACCTTATTCTGTTATGTTGACTTTTGTACAGCCACCAAAAAGCAAGGGCACAAGTAAAAAGCCTGCAAAGCCTGCAAAGCCAAAGACGCCTACACTGATAGATGGCCTTACCAAGGAGGAGCTGTCCAAGGATCAGGTCGGAGCTCAAGTGTCATGAGTCCTGTCGCATGTAGCGTTATGCTTGCATGTTTTATGTCAGGAGGAAAGGGAAGTATTGCATGTGGACAACAATTAATATCAATGTAACAGCAGCCTTGATGCCCTGGTTTTTAGTTTCTTGTACGGTCGAGCTCTCAAAACACTGCTGTTATAGCCTCCCTGCTTGTGAAAATACATCCAATTGTAGCATCCAAGTCCATTGCTAGAATGCCACGAAGATATTATCAGGATTATTTTCTTAGACTCATCTCCAGAGTTAAGACATTATATGATGTTTTCATGAGCTGAGTAGTGTCTCTCTATGAACAATCGATTAACTTTATTATTGGAGTGCCCCCTGCATGTTAAAAATGAGTCAATAAGCTTCTGTACTCCACTGGACATGATCGTTGTCTGGCTCAGATATGGCTGCTCTAAAATATCTTTCTATATTTCAGATGATAGAGTACATTGTGCGTCTTCGAGAGGAGCTGGATAGAGAGAGGGAGGAGAGAAACTATTTTCAGTTGGAGAGGGACAAGATCCACACCTTTTGGGAAATCACAGAGAGACAACTGGTGGAGGTCAAGACTGAACTGAAAATCTTAGATAAGGACATGAATGAGGATGAGGGGCGCCACCAAGCAGAGATCAAGGTAAGGTTAATACACAGATGTACTGTAGCTACCCAGTCAAACTACACTCAAAGTTGGGGGCTGGATTTTCTCAAGCCTGTATTTTAAGCAAAAATATTCCAGAACAGGTAATATGGCTGTCCCATTTTAAAGGCTCTTCAAATGCAGCCTTTTTTGACTGATTGGGAGGTCACAGCTACTGTAACCCTTGCTATCCTCAGTGTCCCTCAGTCGGCCTTCTCTCATGCATGCATAGGTGGGCCTCTCCACTTTAAAAGTCAGGAAAAACCATGGGACATCACATATGGCAGCACTCAGTTGGTCATCATTATATACAGTATGTCACTTGGGACATATATTGTGTTTAATATATTATTGAATTACTGTACTAGACCAACAAAATCAACCTGAAATTGAATATATCCATCAACTCCACTGTTTTGTTTTAACTAGCATTATGTTGTAAGTTACACCTCAGTGCTCATACTGAGCCAGTCGGAGCAGCCACTGTAGCAGATACAGTACAATGCAGATGTAAGGCCAGGTCCTGCCACTGAGTTTCTTCTCTTTGCTGGGGTAGCAGGACTCAATGCCATGTTAGAGTATGGTTAAGAATGGCGTTGCCTGTCAGAGGGCTTAGTAGATTTATGATGGCACAGCCCAGCGTTCACTCAATGGCTTAGTGACAGATCATGTAAAACCAGGACAGAGCTTTCGTATAAACTCTCACCCACATTTTACTGTGAACTGATAACTGGTAAGTAAAGATTGTCCATGGGGTGATTTTATGGCTGAGTTAGTTTTATTGTTCACATTTGGTTATTTTTCCCCTCTAGGTGTATAAGCAGAAGATGAAGCACCTCCTGTGTGAACACCAGAACACAATCTCTGAGTTGAAAGCAGATGGTTTAGTCTCCAGTGAGGCAGTGCAGAAAGAGCAAAATCAGCTGGAGACTGAGCTTCGTAACAACATGAGGGACATCATGGTGGACATGCAAGAGCTTGACATTGAAAATCTTGTCGAGGAGCTTGAATTGGTTTGTAGTGCACACCAAGTCTTTTTTATTTCTACTCTTAATGATCTGCGGATTTGTCTTGACCCTGGTGAACAATAGCATCAGTGCTATAAACACCAGTTTGGTTATCTCAACAGAAACACAAAGAAGAAATGACTGAAACAAGGAACAACCTGGAGGAGCAGTTCACAGGTAAACAACTAATATAATTTAGAGATGAATTTCAAACACTAGTTGGCTTTCAAAAACTTAATAATTTTGTTTTGTTATTTGAGTAGAAATAAAAGCCAAATATGAGATAAAGATGAAGCTGCAGCAACAAGAGTTGGACAACATGAGGAAAAATGAGATCAGTGCGAGAGAAGATTACTGGAACGAGCACATCAATGGTCTTATAGAAGACCACAACAAAGCTCTCAGTGATGCTAAAGTGCTCACTGATTGCATACACCAGGATATGGACGTGAGCATCGCACTGAAGGTATGAGAGCACACATTCTCAACCGTGTCCCACTGACATTAATGAAATTTATGGGACCTGCCACCCTTTATACTGTTCATTATTGATGAGTCTTGATTATTTTTACAATTAGTAGAAAAATTATTCAGTCTATAAAATGGTTTAAATGTCAGTCATAAGTTCCCAGAGCCCAAAATGATGACTTCAGTTTGCTGTTTTGATTGATAATCAATTTGATATCTGATTCAACATAACAGAGCAGAAAAGTCTGCAGAAGTTGGAGCCCAATAATGCTTTAAATTTCTTGTTCATAAATATCTCAAAATTGCCTTTTGATTAAATGTTGGAGCTCTAGTTTTGAATTTTCTTTTTCACCTGGCATTTTTTATTGACTTTTTTTTAGGAACTGATTAAGGAAATGAAGGCAAAAGAGGCAGAGGAGGAAAAGAAACTGAAGTCTGTTATGGAGGACAACAAAAGCTTTACTGAACGTCTTTTAAAAGTCAAGAAGGAAATGGCTGAAACAGAGAAGAAGATAAAGAACTACGTAGGAAGAAAGGTGATGTGGTTTGAGTATGTTTAAAAAGTTTCCTATTTCTATTTTTCATATGCACTTGCATTTCCTGCTACTAGCACCATAATTGTTGCCTTGTGTAGCAGGTGAAAGCGACATGTCGCATGCTTTAATTTGTAATACTGTTTTTGACAGGATAATAATTTAAAGCTCAAAGAAAAGGAGCTGAAAGATAAGAAATTGGATTATGAGACACTGGAAGAGAAATTCAGCAAGGTAAAAGCACAGGTGGAGTTGCACAGTGTCATGTTCTAATGGTAAATTGATTCATGTGCACCTTGGATGTGAGCCTAATGCTTTGGATACTTGTGGGTGATGGAAATGTTTTTCTGTTTTTGTGTGCATGTGTGTGCACATGTCACACAGCTTCAGCTGGAAAGAGACGAGCTGTACAATACCTACACTGAGAATATTCAGAAGGTGCAGGATAAAGCGGGTCTGAAGAGCATGCAGCTGGAAAAGAAGCTGGGAGCCCTGACAGGCAGCCTGGAGAAGACACAGGCTCAGCTCTGCTCAGTGCTTTCTGCCTCTAACATGGACCAAACTGCCCTCAGCGGGCTCACCAGCAAAGTGACGGTACCTTTTGACTCTTTCATTGTAGCTGTTTACACTTCTGATCTCTGATGGCATTTACATTCTTAAAGTATTGTGTAAGGTGCAGTGTATATTTTGTGCACATTGTCTTATTGTTTGAACATAAAAAACATGTTTTTGCTTGTAGGAAGAACTTGAGTCCTGTAATAATACCATCAAGAACTTAGAGTATAAAAAAGCTCAGATTTCCAAGGTTAGTATTTCACAGATTTCCTAAAAGTACTCACACATTTGTTTGACTAATGATGATGTATAAGCAATTTTTATAGGAATATTCATACTTCAGTGAAACAACTGTTTGTCCGGCAGGCCCGTAATGATTTGCTGCTGACCTATGAAGGGAAACTAAGGGCTCTTGGTGTCCCAGTGGAGGAGCTTGATGCAAAGCCCTTTGAGAGCAGTCCTGCTGGGAAAAGTCCAGGACAGGACCTGGATCCTGATATTGCCACAAAATGAGAAGCAGGAATCTGACATGATTTTCATTTGATACAAAAGTTGTTCAGTAACACTAAATATTTTCTCTTATCTCACAGTTATGACCGGGCATCATGAAAACAACAGCCGGCAAGTTTAGACTTAAAAGTCCATCAGACGCTTGATGGTTCATGCTGCCCTCCAAAGGCAAAGATAAGTAACTACAGGAACATTTAAGTTTATAAAAAGGCTTAAATTTTTATAGCTGACCAGCAAACTGTAACAGACTAAAAAATAGTTGACAGGCTTTTATTTATACATTTTTAGGTAAATTATTTTTTTTATGAAAAAATGATTGCTATTGATATAAATGTAAGAGGTTTACCACTTACAGCCATCAGTGAAAACACAGTATAGACTAAATGTATTTCAGCTTTCTGGTCCATTTGAAGTAGTTTAACAAAAGCCTTACTTGGTGGATTACTATGTTTTTAACCATTTAGTAAATTATCTATCTATCTATCTAATCTATCTAATCTATCTGTCTGTCTGTATCTATATAGAAAGATTTATATTAAAATTCATATAATAAATGAATCTAGAATTAAAATGTTTTAAATGTGTTTATCTCACGAATTCCACTTTTTTGACCTCTGTTTTATTTTTATAAATCCCTCAGTAATAACAATATATTTAAATTCTTGCTGCACTTCTTGCTGCACAAAGGCATATTCAGGAGTTGGTGCACTGTAGGGTGCTACTGTAAAAGTTTACTGCTTAAATTGACAGATAACAGCTAAGGTGTTATTAACCTAATGTAAATATGTTTGCTCATTTTATGTTAATTCAGCTTGTTTTTATTTTCAGACCACTTTTGAACTTATAAATACATGTTATAAATACATGTCTGCTTGACGTTTTGCAACTTAAATTAAGATGAATGAATGAACTGCTGAGGGTTCACTGAGTTCATTAAATTAGGTTTTCAAAGAAACACTAGTTGACTTCCAAGCATGCATTGTTGGAGAGTTAACACCCTTCTTTTCATCTGTGGAAGAAGTACTCAGATTGTTTACTTGAGTAAAATACTGTTACAAGTAAAAGTCTTTCATTCAAAATGTTGCTTGAGCAAAACTACAGAAATATTAGCATCAAAATATACTTAAAGTAGCAAAAGTGCTCATTATGCAGAATGGCACATTTCACATTACTGTATGTCATATTTTTGCATTGTAATGATTGATGCATTATTATGTTCATCACTTTATTGTTGCAAATGGTAAAGATGGAGCTAATTTGAACTAGCTCATAATTTGAATTACTGCTGGGGAGCTTGTGAATTTTCCACTGGGGGTCATTAAAGTGTTGCCTGAGCTGATTCTGAAAGTTTGGTGGCTTAGAGTTTTTAGGTCTGATGGTGATTTTTCAATGGTAATAAAAGGATTTTCAGATTTATTACTTTGTATTTATTTGTGTGTTTGTATAGTTTGGTTGTTACCCATTTTTGCTTTACTCTAATGTTTTATCACAGCCAGCACAGGAAAGGAATCTGAGGAGTATTTATATAACAGATGAGACACTCATGAGTAGATGAGTGCATTTTTGCTTGTAGAAATACATTTTATGCTGCAGACAAAAACAAAAATTGGTTCTTTATTTATAAAACATTGCAAAAAGAAGTGACCCACCATAATAACCCTTCTGGTTATTATAAGATGAGCCTGTTTGATACAAAACAAATCCCCACACAGTAGCATCAGGTGATGTTTGAGTTTGTCTCATGGAGAGATGTGTCTGCCACATCAAACAGGAAACTTGCAAAAGGGTGTATGTTTGATTTTCATTATTATGATTTGCTGTGTTTTTTAGGTTCTTTGTGTTGTTATTTATTTTATAAAGCTCAATGGGACTTTCTGTTTGAATATGTGTGCTTCTTATTAATATTCTTGAGAAAATAAGGGGTGATGCAGAAAGCCTTGTGTGGAGTTAGTGCCTGTTTGGGTTTTCTCTGGGTCAGCAAGACAGATTGCTAAGATATGTTTAGCTAGTTATTTTACTGGTGGAGAGATTCTGTTCTTTTTTAGGTTATTTGTACAATGCGGTGCTGGGTTTATTGCGACCAGGACACGAGACAAGTTATGTAAACTCTCAAGCAGTTTGTTAACAGTTAGTTTTTTATCATCCCTCTCTGGACACCAAGAAAGCTAAATGTCATTCTCAACATAATGTGACACAAAATATAGCAACAAAAGAGAATAAAATGACAAACATTTCATATTTGCTAAAATTAATTCTTCATGGTTAAAACAGCAAGTGAAAAAAAAACTCATCTATGGCAGTAAATTAAGACAAAGATCAACTCAGTATAGGATGAAACTGAAGTATTTATAGTTTAGAATATCTGTTGGAAGATGGTGATAAAACCTGGACTCAAACTGAGTATTCCAATCTCAACAGCCAGCTTTACCAGCTGATTTCCCCACTGCAATGACTGAGTTTTCAGCAGAGACAAGAGCAATGTATAGGGTGGATCTAGTTTCTCATTGAATATTCCTCTGGTGAACTGAGCCCTGCTGCACTGAGTGATTGCTGTTCTTGTGGTATCAATAATACAGGAGGAAGTTATTGTCCCTGTGCAGGTTACAGTATTATGGAGGGAGAGGGTCCTTTCACTCAGCCCTCTAGGGTTTCAGGGCCTGTGGACAGTGGTTTGGCTCAGGACCTGCTGCTGTTTCCTTGCACAGGACTAAATTGTAAATCTGCCTGACTGAGGGATAACTGTCCCCAAACAGTGACGGCCTGTACAGTCCTGCTGGCCCCATCTGTAAGACTAAACCCGCAATAAGCACAGAGTCACGAGATGAGTCTCAGCTGAGAGATAGCTCAACAGAGAATTAGTTTGTGGAAGACACTGGACAGTTAGAGAATGGGATAGATAACCTGAGTGTGATTAACATGATCCAGATTTTCATCTTGTTTAAGCACCTGAGTGCCATGACCTTCCTGTAGAACGAGGAAGGTCCAAAATAATGAACTGGGAAAACAAGAACAGTATTTTATACATGCTAATGTAAGTGCTGACCTAAAGGACTGAGGCAGTTTTTCTCTTTATCAGGGATTATTTTCAAGCTTAATCACACTGCACACTATTTTTCTGTGCATCATAGTTAACCAATATATTGTAGGATGACCAAGCATGAACCTGATCCCCAAAGACAAAAATGCAAATGCCTCAAAAGCTAAAAGACCAGAGAGAGGTGACAGTGGTGGGAGGGGTGGAGAAGGAGAGTGAAAGGTAGAGGAAGTCAGCGTGATGGTGGAACAGAGTGCCATTCTGAATGAGGTCAGCTCATTTGTGTTAACTTTGCTAAGCTAGAGATGCTGGAAAATGCTTACCGGGAAAGGCATGAATGGATTATAGCTGTTGGTGAGTCATATGATTTTTCTCATAGAATTTATATTATTTGAGTGATGATAGACAATTAAAATTTACAAAAGATGTCTTCAGTAGAAACAGATGACTCTTTCTAGCATCACATATGAACCTACCTTTAACAGATAAGAGTTTATACCATAGTTTATAAGAAAATTACATTACTGGTGCTTGTTTTAGCAACCATGCAGTGAAAGTGGTGTGACGTGGTAGCCAGTCATTAAGGTTTAATGGCCTTCTCTGCTGAGATACTTTATGCCTTAGTCCATTTCATTAATGAAAATGAAAATAAAAAAGAAGAGCATCCATTTAAACAAGGTTTTTATTTTAATCAATATGAAAAACAGCCCAAAGAGAAAGATGTGACACCACTGTGTCATTGTGCACTCTGGCATGAGATGAAGATGGCAGGAAACGGACCAGAGATGGTCACTCTTAGATTCACAAGCATCATAGTTTTTGCTGTTTTACTGGGACAAGGATCCACTGGGAAGACAGGTGAGTGTGTCACCAAATACGATATCATTAAATACAATATTTGTTTTGTTACACACATTTAGTAGATGCTGCTGGCTCAAACTGCCTATAATGACTCTTTTAGGAGGTGATAAAGATGACCAGAGAGATGCCATTCTTAAGGAAATTATTTCAAAATGGAGTAAAGGAGCAAGTTGGAATCCTCAGAAAGCTCCTCCAGACACAAACAAGGACCAGTCAGTGCACCCATGGGTGAGAAATATTATGGGAAGCCTAAAAACTCTTGGTCTGCTTCCGAACAAGAACCTGCCCTTATTAAACAAGCCAATTGACAGACATCGTCTCTCTGGCTTCCTCTACAACATCTCTCTATACCTCCAGGAGATGGGTGCTGAGCTGGAAGAGGCACCAGCAGACCCAGATGAGAAGCAGCTGTGGGAGAAGGTGCTGCATTTCTTTCTGCAGTTTGACAGGAGCGATGCACTGAACCACTGGAATGACCGGGTGCCTCCACGACCTAGTGTCAAAGTGCAAGACTGGTTTTTGTCCTTGAGGGGCAGCCCTCACTGGGATTGGTTCCTGGGGCTGCTGCAGAGTCTGATTACTCTATCAGAACGTCAGCCCCACAGGCCTTTGTTGACTTTCTTATCTCAGAACTGGAGGACAGTGAGTGCTGTGCTAGAAGCTACGCTGCAGGCTCTGATCAGTGGGACCTATGGTCAGGCCAGTGCGGGCCTGCAGGGCTTCATCTGTGCTCTAAAGGGTCATAGTGACTGTGCTTTCAGCATTAGCTGGCTTCAACAGCTGTTGCATTTTCTAGAAATTAACAACTGGAAGCCTGTGGTCAGTTTACACCCACCAGGGGAAGGTACTGAACACAGTAAGGGCTCAAGTGCATTTGGGCGTTTAAAGCCCTTTAGCTTGCCTCCTGAGGTCATGGGGCAGCCTGGAAATGCAACTCTGGAAGACACGGTGGCCACAGAGGATGATTCAAGCTTCATGCAAAGTTTACTGCAGCAGGCTTTATCACGTTCAGGTGGAGGAGAGAGAGGAGGCCACTTGGCACAGAGAAATGTAGCTCTTGTGCAGAGTTTGGATGGATTGAGGAGGGGCCTCCTGCACAGGGTGGGCAGCTCTGTTTACAGTAACCTGAGGAAGAAAGTGTCACGAGTTACCATGACGCTGCTTGATGATGTCAGCAGCCTGGTGGACGTGCCACAGCCCAACGCTCAGGGTTGGTGCTCAGTGGGTGAGTTTGTAAACTGCTGGCCTGAGGTTTTTGCATCAAGGTCACGCATTAACATCAGACAAAAAGCTGAAAGGAAACAATTAACAAAGTATAATAAAGTGTGCAGCCTTACAAGACATCAGCCTGCTGGCTATTACCACAGAACATTTAACATCATTTAATGCTGTCAGTCTTGTTAAGTTGCATGCATTCATGCAAACAATGTGATAATTAGACATTAGGTGATTAAGACAGAACACACTCCAGTTATATTTTACATGGCTGATATGTGGGTGCATTCTCACATTTGAATGCTTTGTCTTATGATAATGAAAAAAAGCAATAATGCTAAATGTGTGTTTACTGTAATTATAACAAGTTCCTTTAAACATATTCTGGATAAAATTCAAATAACAAGCTGTTCTTATTGCATTTACTCTAACATAACAAGCAAACCTCCTGTTAAGAGACACAGGTTTGACCCTGGTTTCACCTGAGCGATACAGGAGTGGCTGTGACTGACACTGCTTTAAAATCTTTATAATCATCCTGGTCACTGAAAGCATCTGTTGTTAGCTTGGCTAATCTTTTTATCCTCTCATTGATGGCAGTAACACTATAGCTTGGGCATTGTTAGCTGAGCTGCAGTGTTTTATCCGGCCTAGTTGTATTCTGCAGGTGCTTCCAGTTGCTTTTTCCATCACTTGTTCACTTTGATTTTCGGTTAATATTTGCTTTTATTTGTTTTTATTTTATTTTATTTTTTTTCAAGGTGACCTGAGACAACTGATCTTGTGGTAAGACATTTAACAAACATTTGCATTTTATGTGTTTGACAGCTAATTGTAAAGGAGAAAAAAACGTAACATTTCTATCTGCTCATGCATATGTAGGGGGATAAAGCATAATGTGACGTGGAACACTCAGGCTTTGGGCATTAGCTCCCAAAGTCTCCCAAGCTCACTCCCATTCCTGTCCTGCCCTTCCACATCTGAAGATGATGACTTAAGATCACAGCACACACCAGCCCACTCATCTCTTAAAAAAGCCACTTCTTCACCAACAATGTCCAAACAAAAACACTTTTTTGTTCCTCCTATTGCACCAACTCAACCAGCCACAAACAGGGAGAAGAAGCGAGAGCAGCAAACAACATGAAGAGATAGAGGACTTCACCTCTACAGAAATTTTGGAGGCAGCATGTAATGAATCGATTCCAGGCCTTACAGGAGTTTCCAACTTCACTGTGTTCCTTTATTGTAAACTTTTTGAAGGGGAGAATGGGTCAGTTAATCCTGCAGTGGCTGAGCTGGGGCTTGACCTCCGCACCACATGCGCTGATGCAGCTTGGTACCTGTCTGCTGCTGAGGAGGACTTCCTTTGGGTTCATGTCTGCAGTGAGTTCTTTGCCCATGAATTCAACAACACGGTGTGTGCCAACTCCTCTTTCTGGCTGCAGAGGGCATATCAGGTAAGGAGGCACTTTTCTCATCAATGAGCATTCAGGTGTTTTCTGGGTACTTTTTCATAAATGGCATGGCAAAAGGGACGTTTTTTTAAAACTCACAATTCCTTCTTGTACCTGTTAACTAATTCATAGTTTAATATTTACAGGCTGCAGTGACAAAGAACTACCATTTTTTTAACCAAACAAGTATAGATGACCTGTGTGTGCAGCTGTCAGGGGAGGCTATAGGGAGCACGGGCCTCAACAACAACTGTCTGGCTCAGCTGGGCAGCCGGTCACTCAGTGCCCAGGCTTTTAGACACTGCTTCCTGCCCAACAACTCAGTCTTAATCTCAGCTTTGTGCGGGAGAGACTCCTCTGACTCACACAGATCCTGGTCGGAGGGCAGCTGGGCCGCAGCATTCTGCTCCAAAACGCTCAACGTCTCCCATGTTGACACCACTGAGCAGACTTGTCAGTACAGGGAGTGGGCTGTGCATCATTTCACTAACACCACCCTCCTAGAGCTCTGTGGACAGACACATGGGTTACAAGAGTACATTTGTTTAAACACCACACTCTATAGTCAGGTGCCTCAGTTTGCTGATTTCTGTGCTGATCTGCAGGCAGAACATGAGGGCAGGAAGTGTTTCTTGCAGAGGTTTTTTGACATGCTCCCAGCCACATATGAGCTTGACACATCACAGCTGTGTGTGGACCCAGCTCCACTGCTGATGGATGTCCTTTACAAGCTGAGTGTGTGTGAGGTAGAGGGAGGGGAGCACCAAGGGTTTCTGGTGGCACTGGGATATGTGTTGCGAGTCCTGGACTTCATGGTGGGCCTCTCTTCGGGTCTGGATGAAGGGGAAAGAGAGGCCAGACAAGGTTTGGGTCAGGCCATCCTCCTCTCCAGTCTTGCTGATAACACGTCCTGGGCCACACTGCAGCCTGAAGCGTCCACGAGCGTCCTTCACACTGTGGGACTCTTCCTGCGCAGAGAGCAGAACACTTCTCTGAAAGAGGACCTGCTGAGCTGCTTCAGTGTAAGATCGCTGACACACTCACGCAAACACTCTCACGCAAACACTCTCACACACAAAGAGCAAAGAGTGAATAAGTTGTTTCTGCTGTCACATCAGCCCATCTTGTGGGACCTCATCCAGCAGAACGACAGCTCATCTGCACTCAGAGTTCTGCTGCAGGTACTGGCCTGTGCAACTACATTCACATTTAGCAGTTCACAACCTACTGAATTTTATATTTGGGCAAATCACTTAATCTCACCAGGAATACCTCCAGATGCCAAGAGACAGCATTCGCACTCTAGTGATGTCTGCTGAAAAAGATGCAGTTAAGAGATTTATTTCCCATATGCATCGAAGTTGGGACCAGCTACAAGTGGAAACCAGCCAGGTTTGTTCTAAAACTCCCAACAAAAGAATGAATGAACTATTTGTGACCTTTTTATTAAGCTAACTGTGCAGGTAAAAGGCTTTTTCCTGTATTACACTGTACAGAACAGTTTTGTTGACTACAGTTCATTTGTGTTGTATTTATTTTTGTTGAATCTACATCACAGCCCCTTGTACTATTAAAGAGGGCCGAACTGATTACACATCAACATCCTGCTTTTTTGTTTTCTCTGTCAGGCCTCTCAAAAGGAGTTACAGGCCATGGAAACAATGACTGCTGCATTCATCCACAAGTTCCCCCGAGTGACCCCAGAACTGTTTGTGGACCTGTCTCCATTCATTCCCTTCATGTCTGTCTCTGACATCATGAGCTTCCCCACCTCCCTGATTGTCAACGACACCGTGTGAGTCTCTGACCCAGGAAACATTTAGTCTGACATAACTTCCTGTCCTGATGGTAACAGCTTTCCTTTTAGGTTGACAGCCATTCGTGATCACAGCTCGGAGATGAAGTCACTGCAGAAAAAAGCTTTTGTAAAAAGACTCCTGCAGTCAAGTGTGGTGGGTGAAGTCCCCACATGGCCATCATACTTCCTCAGTTCCATCCTCCCACTTCTACCTTACCTCCCAGTCGGTCATTTTCAGCAACTAACATCACAACAGGTTAGAGAGCATTTCACTAATTTACTGTTCTTTACATACGTAGCTGCCTTCTCTCATTCTCAGATGTTCATCTCTGTCATGGTTGTTTGATTTGAAAAGCCATTGACTGGTGTTCTTAAAAATGACAAATGAAGGGAGAAAGGACAAACAGATGCTTCCATACAGGACACTGGGATTACTGAATGGTTTTAAGAAAGTAAAAAATACTACAGCCTTCATAGTCAACAGATCTCAGCACAGTTGAGCCTTTATGGAAGATTTTGAAAAAAAGTGCTCTCCAGCATCATCATCAAACACCAAACTCTCAACTTATGTTGTTTCTTAACTTTGTCACCTTTCTGAATTTTGTTTGTAGCTTGTTTCAGTTTTTGATCTGTTGTCTCCTTTAGCTTACTCCTCTGGTGGAGTTGCTAGGCAATAGCAGTCTGGATGGGGTGAGGGGGCGCCATGTGCTCCGGACCCTCTTCAGTAGGAAGATGAATCTGACCAGTGATAACATACAGAGGTAATAGCAGCATAAAAACATACTGTTCCATAGCATTAACAGTGGTCAAAACTGCCTATACTGGGCGTTGCTCTGTGTTTGGCCACAAATTATGCTGTATTTTTACAAGCTCTGAAAAGGTGGATCACTTCAGTTCTGTAAACATGGGCCTTTTTTTCTTGAGATTCACCGGTTACCGTTGTTGGCTCAGGTCAGAGTTTTGTTCAGCTGTTGATGTATGATGCTTTGCCAGGAAGTTAAATCTACACTGAATCCCCCTTCATGGTAGAGATCTTATCTTTATCCTTGTTTAATGGTTTATTATTTCTCCTCTAATCTCAGGTTTTAGCAGTCATTAATTTCTGTATGAGGCATTTTGTATTGGAATCTCATCTAAAATGCATTGTTTGAAGTCTGTTTCTGATTTGATGGTTAGAAAGAGTGAAGGATGATGTTTTTGCAGGTTAGGAGTTCTTGCATGTTACCTGGATCCAGCAGACCTGGGTTCATATCTTCAGGACTCAGCTGTGACCTCTGGTGTCTGGCAGCAGCTGGCTCGGTGCATGTCCAAGGGGTTCATCAGTGCCAGTGGCAGGGTGAGGGCCACATGGTCTTGTTGACATCATCTGTATGTAGAACGCTATAGAAAATCTTTAAACCACCATCCCCTTCAGCAGTAGTTTTCTTTTTTGTAGTGTTCCACACTGACTAACTCTTTTTTACTGTGTCTCATGGATAGTTGTCCACGTGGTTGATACCCACAGTTCAAACCCTAAATGTCAGCAGCATGGCTCCTCTAGAGCTGTCAGCGCTCAGTGGTCTGCTGCCCCAGTTAGGAGCTTCCTTCCTACTATCTCTTCCCTCACAACAACTCCTGGAGGTTCTCTCACAGCCAGGATTACACAGATACTCCCCAGCACAGGTCCGCAGAGAATTAATGTGCCTCGGTTCTTGTCATTCTTATCTGGGGTAAAGTTGTGAAGTGTTCTCCAACATTTAGTAGTATTTAGATATTAGTAATCTTAGCCTGTCTTCTCCTTTCCGTAGGCTTTTAAATGTATTAAACAGAGTTGCATTTCCTTGAAAGTCTTTACATTTGATTGGAAAAACTATCAAGTTGATCATCAGACTTTTGTCTAAGATTCTAAATAAATGGCCTTGACTGGAGTATATACTGCAGGATTTTTGTCATAACTAAATCCAATACAGTTAATTAGCTACCAAATCTAAAGAAAGACGATACACACTGATAAAAAACATGTGACATTTACTTAAAGTGAACATTGGGATATTTTGTATGCACACTTTTTTAATTATTTAATACTTTCCTCAGGCTTTTCAAATGTTATCCAAGATTTCAAAGGACACCAATGTAAGTAGACACTTTCAAAATATTTCTGCTGATTTTCAACCAGTTTCAACACTGTTTCTCTCTCCCTGCCAGCTCACCATGGAACAACTGTGCAGACTGAAGCCGCTGCACTTCGGTCTCTCCCCTGCTGTGCTCAGAAACCTCCAGTGGCTTGAGATGAGCGGAAATACCCACTGTCAGTGCTGGAGAACCTTGCTAACTGAGCTTAAGCCAGGCCACAGAGCCATGCTGTACAATGCAATGCAGGAGGTGACAGTGCTTACTCAAGGATATCACTTATCACTTCTCTTATCTTTTCATCCCTACCTTTTAATTTGCTGTGTGGATGTTTTGGCAAGCAATTTAATATCTCCAGCCTTCTTACTCCTACAAATTGTGTAAGAAGCCTAAAGCTCCCTGGAAAATGTCACATTATGAAAAAACCTGTAGCCTAAGTAACATTAATCTTTCACTGGGGTTTCCAGAAACCGTTCATTTGATCCACATGTGTAAAACCTGCTTTTTGTTTCCTGAAGGGCTGTTAAAGGCTTCTGGGATTAAATTTATTGTGCTTTGTGTTTTTGGTTGCATGTCCACAGGTTTTACACAGAGACTTGCAGAACATTGCTCAGCAGACAAGCTGCCTTTTACCATTTGTCCCTCTGCGGAAGCTCTTAGACGCCACAAGTGGAGAAACAATCCTGAGAGATATCAGCCTGTACAGAGACGTACACTGGTCACCACAGCAGGTGCACACTTTGCTTTAATTTACTTTTGTGTGCTGTTTAACAATAGCTTCCCAGTTCTCTGACTAAAGGAGAAAATGTCACCAGCATCGGTCTTTGCTTCCATTAATCTGCAACTCATTGGATATGCTTCAGATGAGCCTTTCAGGATATTAATACTCCATATGCATCAGCTGCCATCAAGCTAATTAGTTTGGATGTAGTACAATGGTGCGGAGGAGTGTAGCATAAATTAATAATGGCTACCTTAACGGGATTTTGTCACAGCCAAGAGTGTATTTCACCACCTGTTCTCAGCCTAACAAGACCTGAGTCAAATCAATAAAGACTGCCGTTTTCACTTAGTAATGATAATGACTTTTATTGGCCAAGTATGTTACACACATAAGGAATTTGTCTCAGTACAGAACCGACAGCCATCTGCGGTGCCAACTCACACCGATGACGGCGCTGTTCTGGCCACTGGGAGCAACTTTGCCCAAGGGGCACTTTGATATGTGGGATGGGGAGAACAGAAATCAAGCCACCAATCGTTGGGTTAGGGGATGACTGCTCTACCTCCTGAGACACAGCCGCCCCCACAGCTGCAATACTGAAATGGATTGTGACAGTGCATAAACCTCAAATATTTTTTTCAAATAGCTGTAGAACCGAAGGCTTCAGTGGTCGTTGTAATGATGCCACTGCATACATATTGTATACAAGAAGGGAAGTGATCCCTAAACCTCGTGTTAACCTAGTTTTTGCAAGGTTTTGTGTACAGTACTTTAATCTTGGTTTAAGGGTGGCACCAAAGGAGAGCTCATAATATGTCCAAAATGGAAAGAGGTCATCATCATGAATGTTTGGGCCTAATGCTGGCTCTGAAGGAAGGTTGATGGGATCATCAAAAACACGGGTGAACAAAAGGTTCACCAGTTCCAGGCTTGACTATTGGAATGCATGGTACACAGGTGTCAGTCATCTTCAGATAGTTCAAAATGCTGCCATTGGGGTGTTGACAAATACAAGAAAATTGAATCACATAACCCTGTTCTGGCTCCCAGTGCATTTTCAAATAGAGTTTAAGTTGCTTAGTTTTGGTTTGAAATGGTCTGTGAATTACTGCAGTGGCCTCAGATCATCAAGTCAGCTTCTTTTCAAAGTGCGAAGGACCAGATACAAACGCTGGGGTGATCGTGCTTTTGCTGTCAGCCACTAAACTATGGAATAGCTTACCTTTGAATGTTAGATCAGCTGCAGACCTGGCAGCTTTTAAATCATTGCTTAAGACCTATTTATTTTTTAATACATAGTAGAGTTTGATACTTTCTATTTAATCACTTCTTCTTTGATTAAAATGTTCATTTTAAAGTAAGCCACAGTCCAAATGCTGACACTTTTTCTTTCTGTATAGGCTCAGTTTCTGTTAAGAAAAATCCATGAATTCAAAAACATTACCAGCAGGTCAGTGAGGTAAGTCGGACTTACTGCACCAAAATATTAAAAAAGTGGAATCAAAAAAGTACATTTTCTTATGAATGGAATTAAAAACCTAAACATATCAAGTCACATTTTCAGGTTGCATACCAACTCAGTAACCAATTTAAATAACCTGTTTTTCACTCAGGGCTCTGGGTCATATTGCCGGTGGAATGAGCTGTGACCTTCTGAGTCTTTGGACCAACAATACAGATTTTGCAGAGCTGCTTCAGTTTGTTAGTGAGCTGCCTGGAGGTGTGAGACCTGCTCTGGTGAGGAACAAACACTTCAACACCCCTCAGACTCTTTATCACAGACCTTTATACACAGCCATCATTCACTAGCCCAATTTGTTAATACATGCATATATAAAATACATATTTCCTTAACAAATTATCATTAGCTATAATAATATCATGTTTAATACTAGCAAGCTCAGATGTGTTGTGTGTGTGTTACAGCGAACATGCATTGTAGAGAAACTGAGGAAACAAGCTGAGCTTGATCTCAGTGTTTTGAGCTATGGGTTTGCTGCGACATTACCGTAAGTACCTCCTTATTAAACAATTTACTTTACATTTTAAGTTTTATTTCCTACATAAACATTTAGCATTTTATCTGAAGATGATTACATTTACACCTCTGCTCTGTTGTTTTGCAGAGTAACAATGATAGAGAACCTCTCCAATGGATCCTTCAGGGCTATACTGGACCACATCCAGGCACATTTTGCTGATTTCCTCAGACTGCCACATTACAAACAAACAAATTTAGCTGAGAAGGCCATAACTGAGCTGGTAAAAGACCAACATGATCTGTTCAAATAATGCATTCACTGCATGTCCTTACATGATATGTGGAAGTTGACACATTGTTCTGTGTTTTAGGTGGAAAAGTGTGATTGGAAACCAACTGCTGAATGTAATGTGATTAAATTAAAACAGAAACTGTAAATTAAACTAAGGTAATTAAAAGGATAAACAGGAACCACGAGTATTCGAAGCAAACTGGAACACAAAGATATTTTTGGTAAAATTAAATCAGGGCTTGTGTCAGTGATGGTGATTCAGGTATTTGATTTGTATTAACACATTTATGGGGTAGAAAGAACAAGCTGCATTTTGTTGGTTCAGGCTTCTCAAGCAAACACACACATGCACACACAGATAAACACAGATGGAGAAAGAGATTCAGAACATAACCTGCCTCATCCTCTCGACAGCTTTTCACACAAGTGAAGTCATAGCAGTATGAAATCCTAGTAATCCAGGCCATCTGTGTGTATGTGGCGCTCTGCAGGGCTCTTCTCGGGCTGAGGACAAGATTGATGGCACCACATTGGACGCCTTGGGGCCTTTACTGCCTTTCTTGGACAGGGATACTTTGGCTTTGGTGGACAGAGGAGCTCTGGCTCTGCGGCTGGAGGACATGAGAAGTTTCTGCTTTCCTAAAGAGGCTTTGAGAGATTTTAGTGCTCTGTTCGTTCAGAAAGACCTGCTTGGGTAAACAGACAAATATACTGGAGAAAATATAACAGAGTCCTGGTTGTGAACACGGGTCGATATTATGTCAAAAGGTTATTTTACTCAAGTGTTGGCAACGATCTTTTCAGTGATTTATGGGATTCACACATATATTTTTACGATTTTTGGGGGAAAGAGCAAAACAGAAATCTGCATTACCATGGCAATAGCACTTGTGTAAAAAATACGTGAAGAGGTTAATAATAATATAATTTTTAAAAAGCAATGTATTAGTCTACATGTAACCAATTAACTGTAGTAATCATGAAATATCAAGAAAATAAATGCTGAACAGTTAATTCTAATGGCTCGCTCTCTGATAACGGATGTTGACATTTCAGGGTGGCTGATCATGAACTCCTGTTACAATTTCGACACAATTAAGAGTCTACAGTGAGCTAACAGCTAATGTCACCATGCTAATAGGCTCATAATGACAACACTAACAGGCTGATGTTGAGTAGGGGTAATATTTAAAACATGCATCATCTTAATTTGGCATTTTAACACAGACATTTGCTAATTAGCAATAACAACTAATGGCTGACATGAATGCCATTAGTTTGGCTGGCATTTGATTATGAACTAAAATTTTGGGGAATTAGAAATGTTAATGACGATGCTAGATGAAAAGAAAAGAAGAAAAATTTAAAGATACCGAAGACATTAGGATTCATCCCAAGAGAAACACAAATGTCTGTGCCAAATTCTATAGCAGTCCTTCCTTCATATCAGTCTGGTCAGATAAACAATGCCTTCCCTGGAGCCAAACTGCCACAGCACAGCTACAAAATTAGATATTAGTGCCTGAAAATTCCAGCATTGTACTTATAGTAAGACATAGAGTACTTTAAACAGCAGTAATGGTAGGATATGTGCACTTGTTTTCCAGGGACCCATCCAAGTGGCAGGTCAGGGATGTTGAACATTTGGGCAGGCTGGTGTTTTCACTCTCAACAAAGCAGATTAATGACATCCCACTGGTAAGGGCCCAAAAGTACCATCCATTGTCAGTAATAATTATTTTCATCAAACTTCAGCTGGTTTTCTAAGTTTTATCCTGGCAAGCATCAGTAAATGTGTTACTCTTGTTCAGACAGTGTTGGATAAAGACACAGTGGAGCAAGTCCTGGTGGGTCAAAGGCGCTGGGAGGACAGCGTGGTGGGTGAAGTCTGTGTTACTCAGTGTATGGACCGACATCACCAGAGGCAGCAGACTCAGACTCTCACTCGAGGGATTGTCAAAGCACAAAGCAGAAGGGCAAAAAGTTAGAGAAATATCTCCTATAACTTGTAGTGCAGTTTTTACATTGTGTCTGATATATTTTATCTACACAAAAATTCAGTCTGTAATCTACAGCTTACTGTCATTAATGCACTGCACCACCACGTGTGATCTACATGGGAGATGAGTCAAAGTGATTTGTAAAATTTCTTGTGGATGTGTCTCTTGTTACCCTTGCACTGAATTCACCTGTGTCTCTTCGAGCAGTGCCAGTTCCGAGCTGTGCAGACGTCAGAGGGACGTTACCTTCAGCGTGGACTCCCACTCAGCTCAGTCGTATGTCACAGGAGGATCTGAAACAGTGTGTAGAAGTCTTTGGTCAGGACACTTCACTGAGCTCGGAGCAGCGCCGGGCACTCTGGGTGAAACTCAGGCGGGTCAGTAAAACTGTGTAAAGTTTTGAATGTCTCAGCTCATTGGTTTAATGTTATTTTCACTCACAGGGCATCTGCACATTAGTAGCAATACAACATGTTCTCTCACGTGGATTATCCAAACTCTGTTCTGGTCAATCAGTAACAATATGGATCATCACTTCAGGTTTTTTAAAAGTCTGACTTGTGTTGCAGCAGGTCTGTCTCCCTCCCAGTTAAGATCATTAGACATTTCAAACATCAGAAGACAGATCTTGCTAAAACATGCAATATCCCTAAAAATGCACACAAAATTTGTGGTGGCTGAGAATTCCTGTTTTTATCGCTATCGAGGGTGGAGTGATAAAATGTAACAAGACCAATAAACAGGCAGTCACATCCTGGCTGATAGGTACCAGAAACACGGACATCTGAGTAGAACATGGGTAACAGTTTAATATCAGCACAATCTATGTCTGAGCCATGCTCTGGTTCTTTATTCACTGTAGTCCTACAGTCCAGTGAGAGAGCTGTCAGTGGACCAGGTGCTTGCTCTGGGCTCAGTGGCAACTGAAATGAGAGAACGAGAACTGCAGGATGCAAATCTCACCGACTTGGGTGTGTTAACACATCTGGGGACACTGACACACTGGAGCCCTAAAAAGGTGAACTTCTGAATTTGTTATTCTGATGTAAAAGTTCCAGCAAACAACAGAATAATTTAACATGTCCATGAATGTGTGGTAAATGTTCCTGTTTGACTTTTCAGATGAGAGCAGTGATTTTAGGTGTGATGTGGAAACGCAGACTGAAAGCGGAGCAGTTAACAGCTGTTGATCTGGCAACATTTGGCCATCTGATCTGTGGTCTATATCCCCCAGAGATAAAAAAACTGAGCCCATACAACCTCAGGTTAGTCAAATACCTGATCTATGATTATCCAGATTTCTACATTAATACAACACGTTAAAACAAAAGACACACAAACCTTTAATGTGATTTTTAAAGCAACATTAGACACGTGCTAGAGCTTAAAAGAGACCTAATCATTTGTGCCCACATTGCAAACACAGCCAAACTATCCAAAATGTCCAATGGACCAATCACAGAACACAAGCAAATAACATCAACCAAAAGATATATAAACAGAGATGGACATGTGTTTAAAAGGAGGTGACAAATGCAGCTAATTTTGTAATGTCAAAAAAAGATAAAAAGTACAAATAAAAAAGTAATAAGACGTCTTCCTGCATGGCTTGCTTGTTGTAGAGAGAAACAAATTGATTTCACACACACCAGCTAACAGATGCTAAATAACAGGAGGCTAGTGCACATTTTGTAGCAGCACAGACCTGATGAAAACCATTTGCATACCCTCAGAGGAAGCATAAAGTCCTTCCTCTTTCTCCTCAAACTGCAGTATGGCTGTCCTGTTCCTGCGGGAGATGTCCCTGCCCTGCACAGAACAGCAGATGGAGGCTCTGACAAACCGTTTGTCCAGCCCGGAGGCCTTTGGTCCAGTCAGTGCCTGGGGACCAGAGGTTTTCACCGAAATTGGGACACTGGCAGGTACAGTAGAACATAATATCCCTGGTGGTATAAACTGTTTTGTAATCTCCTTTTTTGATTTGTTTTTTTTTTTCAAAGAGGAGGGAGGGAGGGAGGGAGAAGGAAATGACAGCTGCTGGATGGATAGGTATAATTAAAAATATGCCTGGGTGGTGCAGACTTGAGAGTGAAATGACTGGGGAGCGTTTAAAAAAACCTTTCCTGTCTGTTCATATGAGAACCTTTAATTATCTGACAGCAGTGTTTGTCTCTCTGTCCAGCGGGCTTGGAGGACTTGGTGCTGTCAGCTCTGGTCCAAGAACAAATGGAAGGACTCACCCCTGAAGCCATCGCCCTGATGTCTCCAAAAAAGATGGCAGTGAGTTTCAGCAGTGACTTCATGGCTGTTTATTCAGGCTAACCTAGAGAACAGTATGAATTCTGTTAGGTGCTTCACGTTTCAGGATCCTGGTAAATCAAGCTGCCAAAGCATATTCCATCACTGTGTCCAACACACTTTTTCATACCCATTAAGCCATTCAGTAACCTAGAGCTGCAGCCATTAGTGAATTCACTGATAGGAAATTAATTGACAACTATTTTGAAGCAAAAATCACCAACATTTCTGGTTCTACCTTCTTTCTAAATCTAGAATGTGAGGAACTGATGCTTTTCTTTGTCAGACATAAGAATAACCTGAAAATCTTTGGATTTGTTGGCTGGACAAAACAAGACATTTGAAGACACCACGTTTGATCTGGAAAGTCAAAATGAGTATTTTCCCAGTGTTTGACACTCTGTAAATAAAAACATAAATCAAATATTAAAGAACATGACTGGCAGATTAATCACTGACCCCTTTATCATTTATGGATTTTCTTTTAATTTGTCACCCATCTATATTATATCTCAGAAAACAGAAAAAGGACTATTACAGTGTGGATAACTGGCTCAAAGGATATACAAAATTATTTGTAATAGAACAAACAGCTAATGCACTCCAGCAAATTCAAACTGGACAAAGTGAATTGTAGAGACAGAAAAGACATTCATAATCAGTAATGAGAAAGAGCATGCACTAATGGACATTTGATATGGGAAGAAGGTTATTGCAGTACACCTCTCCCATCCCCTGTATTTGTGTTAGTATATACAGTACAGTACAGTACAGTATATAACAGATCTGCATTAAGCTTGAATCAAAAGATGCATACATTTCTGAATTTAATGCATATTTGTTCAGTTTCCATGTGGAAATAAAAAATGAGAAAAAGGTATGATAAAATGATGTTGTGTCCTTTCAAATGACAAAGCGTCCTGTAGGTGTTTGTATTTGTATCTTACAGGTGGTGTTCAGCGCAGTTCAGTTGTCGTGGCTGAGTGCTGAGCAGGCGTGGGCCGTCACTGAGGAGCAGTGGGCTGAACTGGATGCCGACCAGAAACATGCTGTTGGACTAGCTCGATATGAAGGAGACGTTCTGCTGGAGCTGAGAGGTTCGTCTTCAGAATAATGATGGCACTAAAATCCCATTTTAATAAACTCCATAATAAGTCTGTAACTGTTATTTTATCTATTCAAGAAACCACATTCATTTCTAATTATGATAGTACTTGTTTCTACTAAGCAAACAATTTTATTTTTATGTTATGTTTAAGGAAATGATAAACACTCTGCTTCCACAGGGAGAAACTCAGCTGCAGCAGCCCTGATCACAGACAGCCTGACTATACGCTCACTGGCTCTGTGCCTCTTCTTATGGCAACTAATTTAATATGCTAGAACAAATGTAATTGCCCCTTGGCCTTCCTTGGTTTCATTATATTTGTACTTTAAATAAATATTTTGAACTGTTCTGTTCCTTCTGTGTGTTGGTCCTTTAATTTACATTACTGTGGTATTTCATATTTATGTGAATTATCACTTTGTCAGAATGAAAATCAGTCTATGTAGCTGTAGTACAGATACATATATACAGTACATGAATATATTGTTTTGAACAGTTAAAGGAAGCAATGAAACAAATGGGATTGCATGGTTTGATTATCAAACAGGCAAAGTGGACAACTGCCCCAAAACCCCTAATTTCACTACCTGTCAATTGTCAGTTTTTTTTTTTTTTTTTTTGTTTATTTAATTACACGTTTAAGGAATTTGATCAATTAAAATACAACAGAGTTTAAGGCAGGACTTGCATGATTCATTACAGTGAGTTTGTGGTCCTGTCTTGTATGGGGATTCTGTTATACTCCAGTTTCAACATTTTTTAAACAAATTAAATTGTTATTTTGCCAGCATCATGCTTTTTGTTACTGTGACTTTTATGCCTTTATTAGATAAATCAGTGCAGAGAGGACTAAAGATGAGGAGGCAGACAGATGGGAAATGACATGCAGCAAAGGTCCCTGGCTGAACAGGAGCCAGGTACGTTGTGGTTCATGGTTGGACCATCAGGGCAGCCAACATGGTGCATATCTCTAATGTCTAAGGTTGGGTTAAATGAAATGATCGCCCACTGTATGGCACACAGAAAACATGGGGCCTAATAGTATAATTCTAACATAGGGGTACAAGCTTGTGGTTGGTCTGTTCAAATGATGAAGCTTTCATGTGCAAAGGTCATGTGCAGGACCTTCACTGATAACAGTTTTTTTACACTGGGGTATTACTATTGTTACTAAACAACCTGAGTACTCCTTCCACCACTGGCTGCCAGTGCTGTGTCGAGATCTATTGTCCCGTCGAGATGTGTTTCGCCTAACCTGAACTCTAACCTTATCCTCACCATAACATGGGGGCGATACTAAATACACAGTTTTAAAAGGGGGAACAGATTTCGACACAAGACCGGTATGAGTGTGGGTGCTACGCAGCCTGTCACCAGCAGGTGGCGGTGTAGCAGCGCCGCTGCTCGGCAAGGAGGTGTCTCCACTCTATCCACGGCCGTGACGTATTTCCTGGGGCTTGTACGACCACGCAGCGGTACACCAGAGGGCTATCATGACTATTTATAACCAGTTTTCCCTGTTATCAGTTTTTCAGTCCCTTCGCCGTGCTGTCGTCGATTGTAACGCCGCGGTGTGAGACAACAACAAGCAGGATCGAACAGGATGTAAACGGAAGCTGGTAAGTTGAGCCGCTAGCAAGTTTCCCGTGTGACCCAGCTGGAATTTGTGGTTGTTTGCGCTGCTGAGTTTACCGTGTTCTTGGATGTACAGGACGGGACAGGACGTTGTGTTGTCTTCCTGTTGTCGGTTGCTGTCAGTTTGTGTGTGTCGGCTTTAAAGGGGGGCTCTCACACTTACACATGGCGAGCTGACGTCGACAGCGTCGCGTCCTGTTTCTGTGGTTGTTCCTGCGGCGTTGCGATAAACTGCGCTGGTCGTTATCCACCACACTGCCTAGATGGGAGTTAGGAGTAAACTGTGAGGAGGCGAGTGTCTGAAATGTTCTTCAGGGGTGGATGAGAGGAGAGGAAAGGGGGAGGCACCTGTGTGACAGGCTACCGCGGTGTCAAGTTTGCGTTAATCACGGTTTCAGACATATTTGTCAAGCGGAGAAGGCACCAGCGGATCAGCTCCAGCCGCGGCTCCGAGCCAGACTCTGACTCCGTGTTGTCGTGGACTGAACCTGTGCGGTGAGTCCACCGAGCACAGCTGTACCGCCCTCACCTGACACGTTTAAACTCCTCAACTTCAGCTGGTCAGTTGTTTGTCGCCGCAGGCCTGAGAAGTTTTCCTTCTTCGTACTGTACAGCAGTTCATCTTCTCTCTTTTCTAAACACAGTAGGTTTTGTTGGTATCATATGCAGCTTATAGGAAATTATTACTTTACTTTTAACAGTATTCTCCTGATGGAGCAGTGGTTACGTCGGCTGTGACATGTAGATTACGGACACCAGAAGTAATCAACGCAAATCTGCAAAGCACAGCTGGTGTAAATATACCATTTAGCAGTGGTGGAAGAAGTACCCAGATAGTGTAACTACGTAAAAGTAGTAATACCACAGTGCTAAACTGCACAGAGCCTATTATCCTATTATCTTCTGTCTGGAGAGAAGCTTTGTCAAATGGCCATTTGGAGCTAAACAGGGAGAAAATGTATGAGTCATCAGCATCAAAATATACTTAAAGTACCAAAAGTAATTGTACTGTATGATGCAGAATGGCACGTCACATTGAGCGTATAGCATATTATGGATTACATTTATTTTGTACATCACATTTTTAATGTTGCAGCTGGTAAAGGTGCAGCTTACAATCTTATAATTTGTGGTACTGCTAGGCACTTTATGAACTTCTGACCAAGGCTCTATAAAGTCTTATTATTGTAGGCTACTGTATTTTATTTTATTAATTTTATTATGAAAAGTAACTAAAGTTATCAAAGAAATGTAGTGCAGTAAAAAGTACATTTGCTTCTGAAATGTTGTGAAGTCAATGTATGAGGTAAGCAAATACTCAAGTAAAGTACAGATACTGTAAAATTGTACTTGAGTAAAGCACTTGGTTATACTTTGTTACTTTCTGCCTCTGCTATTCAGGATATGAATGTGAGTTGTTTACTGATCTTGTTGCCTTGAAGTGACGTAATTAATCTCTCTAGCTGATGTTTTGTCCTCTGCATTTGATTCTTTTACATTCTTTATGTGATGAAACATAATCTGGATTGACATAAATAATAACTTTGTGTGAAAATGCTTTTTTGGGGGGGTGTGTTAATTTCAGTGAAAGTGTAACTCATCGCAGGATATTCAGTGTCACATTAGCCTAGATGTTGCATTGAGATAATATGGGAACTGACCTGCTTGTGTTATTTGTGCGTCAGATAGACCTTGCATTGATATTTTATCTCCCTGGTGAGGTCATATTGAGCTCCTCATTATTATGGATAAACACTGAAACAAGGTTGTTCAGCCCCTTGCATGCAGTTCCATGTAGCAGATGAATACAACAACTCAAATAATCAATACATACTGTTCTGGTTGCTGCCTACACTAAGATATCATGTAGTAGTGTCTTTTACATTGAGCTTGCCATACAAGCTATTTAATGGAATTTACATATATACTTGTTCTTATTGCTGGAGAACTGAACTTGGAAAGGGAAAAAAGCTGTGTGATAGAAAACATTATGACAGTGTTTTAATGTTGCTGGAGGTCTGAAGAAGTATTTAGATGACATAGTTGAGGTAAAACAAATATAGCAGGAAGAACAAAAACATAATCAGTAGAAGGTGTGTTATGTGCAGGCAGTTTAGAGTTCACCTATTACCCTTAAATGGTTTACAGTAAAAAAGAAATCCCATAAAAAAACACAGCTTGTTCACAAAGATAACACACAATACTAAGGAACAACTGCAGTTGTGTCTGTACTCTGTGACGTGGCGACATGTTTATGGTCATGTACTTTTAAAATATTAACTCAGAGAAGCAGGGACTTGTCTTTATTAATTAAAAAAGCAGAACCTAATGAGAGAAATCCAAGCATTTTTTTATTCAGGAGGGTAAACAGCGTGGCAAAGAAAGTGTTGGTTGAAACATGAAGGTATTGTTCTACTACTCGATATCCTGAGTACTGAGTTTTTATACTTGGTGGGGTCCGAATCTGGATTTATACAGTTCTCACTCTCCAGTAGCGGTTGACCGGTTTTTCAATTAGCAATGCCCATCTGTAGGCCGATGGCACATCATGCGGATATCATGTCATTTTTATTTCCCCCTTGCATCAGAAAACATACGACAATATAATAATAAATGAGACAAATTTTCTGAACATAAATGAACAAAACTGACAAAGCTGCCTGCAGATGTGTCTGCAGACACTTTGTGTTAATTGGCCTTGTAAGCCCAAACATCATCTGGTGCCTATTATCTAAAAGTGCCAGATATCTGCCAACTAGTTGGTCTATCACTACTCTCCAGAGGTGTGTGTTCCCACCATTTTGTGTCTTGTGTTTTCACCTTTATTTAGATCACCTGTAGACTTGCAACACAGGTCCCAAAGCTGTTATTATCTGGGTCTTTAAGTAGAAATCTTTGACAGGAAGAGTTCTGGCACTGAAGTTACTGTTCTGTATCTTTATGTCTGTGTTTTGTGTTACTCATCAGTGAAAGTGTTGGTGTTGCACAGGCCCCCTTTTTTTTTATATCCAATTCAAGCATTGTATTCTAAAGTTTTAACTATACAAAACAGCCCTAGGTTTGCGGACGCATTCTTTTGGGGAAGGAAATTCTAACTTGTGTAACATCATTTATGTAACCTCAACTAACTAGCTTCCTCGGCTAATGTAACTTAGCATGGGTGTTAGCCACATTAGCAATATCTTTTCCTCTAAAATACGCTACATTCTGCTATCTCTGTTGTTACCATTCACAATAATCAAAATGATTCGTCTTTGTGTTGAAACTCTCCTTTGCTGTGTGAAACAGAGGATTGGTGACATGATTTTTGTACTTGCGGATATGGAAAAACAGAGGAGATGGGGCTTTTGGTGGTTTGTCTTGAGCATACATCTGTGTCACAGTTTAGGATCTCTGCTCCAGTAATATCTTCTTATTAGCAGTGTGACTTTTGAGTTGTATTCATGGAATATTAATGAACTAACTTTTTCAATATTATTCAGATTCAGACAGCTTTATTTGTCCCAAAGGGTAATTCAGTTTTATAGTCAGTCAGCTCACAAACAAACAAACATTTAACATAAGGGACTATGCTGAACACTAGCTGATAAATACACAGTTATTATCATGTATTTATTATCATTTTAACCATTGTGCCACACACGCAGCTTGTTATTTCCTAACAGATATTGTTGTCATGTGTGTCACAGTGCGAAGAGATATTTCCCTGTGTGAAACCTCATATGGGCTAAATGCATCAGAGTTCATTTTTAGCTCATTAAAATATAAATAATAACCCGATGAGGTGTAAACGGTTTCCTTTTTAAAATGTCCTGATGAGTTTGGTAATGAGGCTGGTATTATCCTTTGGGTTTAATGAGACCTGGCTAATTATAATTTGGCATAGTTTTTTTTTTCCCCCCTCAGTTATAACTGCCATTATCACAGTTAGACATATGGTATCGTTTACTGGTGTAACACTAAATACAACTCACAGTGCAACGGTCGGCTTCTCCTTTGTCTCTTGTGAACAGTAAAGTAGTTGGGCAGTTTGATGCCATGGTGTGTGGTTTTCACACTGACATTAAGAAAACTGAGTGGTTGAACGCCCAGATGAGGTCACAGGCGTCTGTGCTTAATGTCAGTGGCTGTCTCGAAATCAAACAGAGCTTTGGAGGTAAGCACACTCTGTTTACTTGTTGCATCCAAGGACAGAGGACAAAACTGAGTGAGTTATATCTCTGAATATTTCTCTAGCTGTTCCCATCTTTCTTCTCATCTTATTTGTACTGTGTGCTGTGTGTTTTTTTTTTAAACCTGATAAATACTGGTCTGGCTTAAATAGCATTAGTTAAGCTGTTATTTTTGAGCCTTTCAAAATGATAGAAAATTCTGACAGGAAGCAAATGTTCATCAAAGGATTATTTGGAAAATTTATGCTGGGTGTGGATCCTTTGTGAAATAGGCTTAGAGCAGGGGGGAAGAATTTAAAGGTGATGGAAGGACGTGGGTGTTGAACACAGTTCCACTTTAAGAGACATTTGGAGTCAGATTTGTTCTGCTTGGTTTAATATACATGGCGCTTGTTTTATATAGTTGTCTCTGATATGATGCTAGTGGTTATCCAGGTAT